AACGGGCAATTGGTCTTTGGACCTTCCTTTAGCATGCCTCTGTTACGGAGTGCGATTATCAGTCTTAGTTTGGGAGCAGTATTGTCTCAAAGTTGGCCAAAACGCTCAGAAATGTCTTTAAAAAATCATGTTTTGGGTCGATTTTAAGCAGCCACTGCGTCTGATCCGAGGCGGGCATTTTGCTCCCTCAACGGGCAATTGTTCCTTGGACCTTCCTTTAGCATGCCTCTGTTACGGAATGCGATTATCAGTCTTAGTTTGGAAGCAGTATTGTCTCAAAGTTGACCAAAACAGGCACAACGATTTTTCAAAGACATTTGAGCGTTTCGGCCAACTTTGAGACAATACTGCTCCCAAACTAAGACCGATAATCACACTCCGTAACAAAGGCATGCTAAAAGAAGGTCCAAAGACCAATTGCCTGTTGAAGGAGGACGAAATACCGCCTCGGATTAGACGCAGTGGCTGCTTAAAATCGGCCCAAAACACGATTTTTCAAAGACATTTCTGACCGTTTTGGTAAACTTTGAGACAATACTGCTCCCAAACTAAGACTGATAATCACACTCCGTAACAAATGAATGCTAAAGGAAGGTTCAAAGACCAATTGCCGGTTGAGGGAGCAAAATGCCCGCCTCGGATCAGACGCAGTGGCTGCTTAAAATCGGCCCAGATCACGACCCCAGCTACCTCGCCGCGACCCCTTAAAATTTTTTCGCGACCCCACTTGGGGTCGCGACCCTAAGGTTGAGAACCACTGTCCTATACCATTTACGCCCTTCGCGAGGGCATAAAACGATTTATGCCCTGGGGAAGGGCGTAAAAGAGTATTTATGCCCCAAAGGGCTTAATTTTTATGCCTTTGTTTTACCAGTGTACTGAAAAAGGAAAACGTTCTGGCCGAATAACGTCCTGAATACACTGGTCCGGCCGTATATTGTCCTGCAAAACGTTCCGGATGAATAGCGTCCTGGACAACGTTCCTTCCGAAAAACGCCCTGAATAACGGTTCGACCTCTGCCGCTGGTTCACCGGCGGTAAAGCGCGTCGACGTTGCAAACGGCGGGGGAAGGAAGGGGAAGGAAAAAGGTGAGATTTTTATCGAAACGGGGACGGCGTGTAGAGCAACAGTGTGCAGCGCAGGCTCGTTCCGAACAGGGCCTTCGTCGATGTCCCTCTCGCACTCACGGGGTGGTGCCCTCGGTGTGCGAGAGAGGCAGCGACTTCACACTGTTTGGAATGAGCCGTCTGGCTGTGACACGTTGTTGCCGCCGTCGGTCTTGTTGTTGGCGGAGATGACGCGCCCTGCAGGCTGATTACAAAAGGGTGTTGTCCCGTCTCTCTCCCTCTTTCGGGTCGGCCCGCAGTGTGACGGAGAGAGAAAAGGCCGCGGAATCAGTCTCGGTGGATGTTGCGCGAGTGGTGGTGCATGAACTCGTACTTGCTGACGGCGGCGGTAACGAGGGCGACGTGGAGTGGCGGCGTCACTGCGCACCCAATTTGCGGTGTGGTGGCGCTGCAGCGCGGCGGATGATCTACTCGTCGCCCCCGCGCAGCCCGTGATTCATGGAAATGATTCCGCGGTTTATTTTATGCTTTTTCGGGTTCGCTTTCTCTTCTAATGGCCGGCGCGTCGGTAATTGCCAAGTCTGACTCCGCAGCCCGAAGCCTGGCCGCCCTCAAGTGGCCCACCATTAGGCTGGCCCGTGCCGCTCGTGCTTACGGTGGGACGAGCAGAATTTTTCGCCGGCTGCGGCATTCTGCGGTGAACTTCCACTGCACTGTGGGCCAAAAGACCGGTAGTCGAAACCCCGGACGGGTTTTGAACTCCAGAGTCGCTAAGCAGGACTCGAACCGAACGTGTGACCCTGCTCTTCGACAAAGGAATCCATTGATGGGGTTACACGTTTGGTTCGAGTCCTATTAAGCGACTCTGGAGCTCGAAACGCCGCGTCTAGAGTTTGCATCACCTGAGCCGGTCTGCAGCCCCCACTGTGTTTAACCCAACACGGAACCAGAAGAAACGCCGTGGTTCTGTGTTCCCGACGCACTCATTCCGTCCGCATCGCAAGCTGCTTCTAAAAGGGACTATTTCTCACTCTCTCGTTCTTGGTGGCGCCTGATTCCCGTGCGAGTTGGACAGAGACAGAGCCGTTTTGGTTCTGAACAGTGCTGCGTCGCTCTGTCTCTCCCGCACTCGTGGGGGCTTACCCTACGGGTACGAGAGAGACAGACGCTGTCTGTTTAACGAGCCAGCGGCCAGGCACTCGTGCAGTTGATCCACCAAAAACTGCAGACCGCCTCGCTGCAAAAAGAAGGCGGAGGAGTGGAGGGGAAACCGAGCGCTTTTGATGAAGTTGCTTGGGAAAACGATGGCCGCGATGAAGAGGGAATTAGACTCGCGAATCGCAAAGGCGAGGCCCGTGCTTCCAGCAGCGCTTGGCGAGGCAAAGGCAAAAAGGAGGCGGGCATTAACGCGGAGACGGAAGGGGTCCCCGGAGAGTCGCACCAAGCTCTCCAATTGCAGAGCCATCTTTTTGGCCGGTTATTGAGTTGCCTGCCTGCCTCGGCCAACAAGTGGCTGCGCACACAACCAGTCTCCGTCTCTGTCGCACTCATGGACCAAGGCAACCGGGACGAGAGAGACAGAGCGATTAAATGCTGTTCAGAGTTGGTCTTTCGGACGTCCAGAAATCATGTAACGGTTCTTTGGGAAAAGTGCAAAGAGTTTGCACTTTTGCACGGCGTTGAGTGCACTCTCAGGAAAGTACAGTATCCGGGACTGCATAAATATTTTTTTTAAGTAGGTCAGTCTGTCTGATAAAATAGTGAACGCATATGCTTAAGAGTGTTTTTTCTGAAACTTCACTGCAGGTTAAGAATTTATTTTTCAAGTCTGGTTTGTTAAATTCGTCATTTTTCACTCTAGCCAGGCCATATTCGTAAAGTTCACTTACTCCCCTGCTTGAAACAGTCCACTGTGACCCCCAAAAAGGGATAAGAAACAAGAACAAAATCCAGGAGCGGCCCCTCTAGAGTGGCCACGCGTGCGTCCGGAAGAAAGCGCGCACTACACGCACAAGAGGCGGGCGCGGCCGGGCGGGCCGCCGGGCTCGTGGAGAGCCGACATTTGTCACTGATAACCAGTTAGTTTGGTGTGACTCTTATCGCGCCAGGTTATAATTATATCCGTGAAATACTGGCTGGAAAAACACGGCGCGCGTGTTCCTTGAAAAACGCGACGAGGAAGCGGAGCGCACTGTTTGTGGTGTGCGCCTTCACTGTTAAAAAAATTAATAATGGGACAATCCTGATAGTGTGTACCAAAGCTCCGACGGGATTTCCCGAAGGCCTCGTGTCTCAAAAAGATTTTTTTCTGACTATACGTGCTGAGAGAACAGTGAAGTTCTCGGAATTTTCCGAAGATCGGAGGCAATGTTTTCCGCTCAACAAGTTTTCTTTCCGGGAAGTTCCAAGATTTTTTTTAAACAGTGTTCTCGCACGCGTGTCTCGAGGCGCTTCCATTTCGGGGCGCATTAGAATAATTGGAGAATGAGATTGCGGGCGAACGACGCGCTCGGCTTAACTTTGATGTTCGGAAAGTAGAAAATAATAGGCGGCGGGTGGAGGGGAGAATCTCGTGACCCGGACTGTCGGACACCAATCAAAAATTCAGTATAATTTTGAAAACAAAAAAAAACACACACACAAAAAAAACAAGTAAATGAAATAGGACTGGCATTTGTGCAGCAGCTGTCGTCTAATCCAAATGCTTTCCTTGCAGCGTGCACTTTGCAGGGGAATTCATTGTTTGGGATGGAAAATGTCGCGGAGCACGCTGTATGTCGGCACAACACAATTCTCGTGGAAGAAAAGGCGAGGTTCTGTTAGTACACCGTGGCGTGGCGCGCCCTTCGTGCCCGCCGCGCCGCTGGCGCTGTTTACCAACACGTTCGCTTGCTGCTGTTTCGACGCTTCCGTAAAAATAACGTTGGCTTTGCAGAGCGGCGGCGTACTGAATTTAGATGACTTTATGCCGTCGACGTGGGGGCCTCGCCTCGGCCCCACACAAGTACGTCTCCCCTCACCCACCGGCCCTCGCGGCCGCCCCACCCCTCCCCGCCCCGCCCAAAACGCATTACTCGGAGCGGCCACAGAACGCAGAACGGCCTTGCCGACCAGGCGGCCGGCCCCACCCTCTCACCTCGTGAAAGTCCGAGCGAGCATCCGGGTTGAAAAAACAAAAACAAGGCGACTTTATCAGACCCGGAACGAAAAGAGTTTGGGATGAAATCAGAGAAATCAGAGACACATGAGATTATCCCATGCCACATACAAAGGCAAAGAAAATAATAAATGAGTGTAATATTTAGGATGGGAAGTCCGAGAAACGATTTTCGACACAACTGTTCTACCTCAGCAAATGATTCCTTTTCATTTATGTGCTTCAGATATTTCATATAATAGCAAAATATGCGCAGGGAATGAATCATCAACTCTTTCATTTACGTTGTTTGGCCTTTAACCTCTCCGCTCACAATGCTACCGGCGACGGCGACCTCCAGTAATGAACATAAATATCAAAAGGCGGTGGACAGACGGGTCCCATTAACTGCTGCCTCGGACGACGCCTTAATTGGATCAGGTCTGCCACCAGTACATCTCCACCTTCCAGCGGTCTTTGCCCCGACGCCAACACTGCGAAACCAAGTGTGGAGAACTAACTCAACGCTTAGAATGCGGAGGTGTGGAATTTTAAGCCTCCGCTCTTGGAAGTGTAGTTTTGCATTCTTCACACTTTTCACACTTCTCCACGTTTGCGCTGCTAAGGACCAGGGCATCTGTGAGCTACTCCACAGAGAGAAAACTGCAAAATCCAGACGTGCAGGTGTGGAGAATTACTCCTCACTAGAACGTGTGGAGTTCCCCTCACTTGCACTTCAATGTCCAGCAATAATTGCAAATTCTAACGGTGTTGTGTCTTTTGGTTTCTTCCGCAGGCTTCCTGAACGTGAACCCTGACCCGCACGCGCGCAGCCCCGCCAACTACGGCCTCATGGACCAGATCGCGGCGCTGCACTGGATCCAGGAGAACGTGGCGTCCTTCGGCGGCGACCCCGGCAACGTGACCTTGCTGGGCCACGGCACGGGGGCCGCCTGCGTGCACTTCCTCATGATGTCCAGCGCCGTGCCTGATGGTGAGTCCGCGGTTTTCTACAAAGAAAACCACACTCTAAATGCGTGGCATTCGCACAACTGCGTATCTGCCGTGGGATTCCCTATGAAGATGCGTTGTTGTCAGATGATCACTTAAATGTCTTACGGTGAAAGGCTGCACCACCACAATATGCTGAAGATTTTATTCCAAATTCAAACCAAATTCGTCAAAACATCTATAAGGTACAGTGAGTTCTCAATGGTATGTTATAAAGTCACCTTGAGTGGCAAAGAAACTTACAATGGACTCGCAGTGCAGCCGCACTCCCTTGCATTAGATCACAGTGTGCCTTCCGCACGCGACGTTCGCTGTTCTCCCGCACGGCCGTCCGAGTCGTTGCCGCGCTCCGATTTCACCGGACAGACGACCACTCGGCTGGATCTGAGAAAGACACGCGTGTGTCGCGTGGCCGCCAGCCGACCAGTAGACTGATTCCGAGTGGGGAGGTCTCTGTCTCTCTCTCTCTCTCTCTCTCTCTCTCTCTCTCTCTCTCTCTCTCTCTCTCTCTCTCTCTCTCGCACTCATGACGCGCTCCCTAGAGAGATAGACTGGCGGTGAAATCTGTGGGCTGGGTTGTTCTATTGCTGGCGCGCTGGCGGCGACACAGTCTCCGTCACACAGGCCCCACACACGCGTTTCCGAGACCCCAACCGGCGTGGATCTCTCGCGCTTCGCGCCTGGCCGAGCTTTTGCCAGGCAGAGCCCCGCTCGCTCCCGCAGCCACCAGGTTTCTCTCTCACCGACCGTACGCCCGTTCGAAAATTCCAAGAAGAGCAGCAGCGGATGTGTTTTGGGAAGTCACTGGTGATGAAGGGGTCCGTGTGCACGGCGGATCAGTCTCTCGAAAAGCATGAATGTCGACTGCTCTTCTGCAATGTACAGAGCGGAGATTATGACTGGTGGCGAATTTCATGGCAGGCGGGCCTTTCTGGAACTTGGATTCGTTGGAAATTTCTCGATTGAAACAAATAATGAGAGTAACGTGGATGGGCGGCGAGCGCCTGTGAAGTCGACGGTAGGCAATCCCGCCGAGCGGCCGAGCGCGGCGCGTTGCCTAGCCGCTCGACCATTACCATTACCATTAAGGGCTAGACCACACATGATCGTATGCCATTTCGGGCCCGACACATGCTCGCCTGCACTGCAAAACGAGACATGGCCGTCCTTACTAGGGTGACACGTTATGCCGGCAGGCGGCGTGCGTGTGAGCGTCCTCGTTTCCTGGCTTTGGTTTTGGCCGCAATGTGACCGCGGCTCGGCTCGGCTGCGGATGGTGTAGCCCGCGATGATTTAAAGAGCCTCTGGCGGGCCGCCAGCTGCCAGGCCGCCAGGCCTCGGCCACCCTGCGGCGTGCGTCCCTCGGCCCTCCTCCACGGCCTGGGCTGTGTGACGGCCTCAAGGAGGCGCACAGTGGGCCAGAAGACCAGTGGAGGCGGCCAAAACTCCAGACGCGCTTTGAGCTCCAGAGTCGCTAAATAGGACTCGAACCGAACGTGTGACCCCACCAATGGATTGCTCTCCGAGCGAGGAATCCATTGGTGGGGTCACACGTTCGATTCGAGTCCAGCTTAGCGACTCTGGAGCTCAAAACGCGTCTAGAGTTTTGGCCGCCTCCACCGGTCTTCTGGCCCACTGTGAGGCGGCCGGGCCGGGCCGGGCCTCGGCACCACGGCCAGCTGGCGGCTCGCCTTATCAGCACGGCCTCCCCTCCAGCACACTGACTCCGAGAGTCGTCGCTCCGTCTCCCTCGCACCTACACGGGACGCCGCGTGAGTGCGAGAGAGACAGACTCTCGGAATCCTTCCGCAGTGTCTTCTTCATCCCCACTGCTTTACTTCTCGCTGCTCAGTGACGATGGAGCGGGTCCTTGCCTCCTGATGGAGTACTCCAGCGGACTGATTCCGAGAGTCGTCTTCGTCGCTCTGTCTCTCTCGCACCCGCGGGGGACGCTCCATGAGTGCGAGGGAGACAGAGCGACGAAGACGACTCTCGGAATGCAGTCTGTGCGGTGGGCCGTCTCGCCTCGCGGCCGTTCCCCGAAACAAAGGCTACTTAAGCACTTTAATTCGGCCGTTCCCTTTGCTTGGCTTCAGTGGGCACTGAATTACCAGTGGGGTGGCGCGGCCGGCGCGGCCCGCGTGATATGGGACATAATTCTTGTTGCCACTGATGCCTTTCCGATTGCAGCTGGCAGTGGACCAGTGCCGCCAGCGCGGATAAGGCACTGCAGTCGGAGCGGGCGTCGCTCCGTCTCTCTCGCACTCGTGGGGCGTCCCGCTGCGGTGCGAGAGAGACAGAGCGACGGAATTGCGGTGTGGCACCGGCCTGCTGCTTGTTGCTTCTTATCGCCGCGAGTGGATGGACCACCCGTTCGAAAGGCGGGTAGTCGAATCCAACGACACAACCCGGATGGAGGACTCGCTTGGGGGACCATGACTCTGGACACGTTTTGAGCTTCACGACCCTCAAACGAGTCTCGTAACGAATAAATGATTGGTACACTGGTAAAACTAAAGCGTAACTCTATGCTTGAGTCAAGCGTAAAGTTACGATTGAAGACATTAAGCTTGAAATGAGGCACGGACTGGAAATTCCCCCACACATTTAGATAAAGGGAAAACTTGGCGGATGAACCTGTTACGCTTGATCTCAAGCGTAAACTGATTGCGCTTGAAAACAGAGGGTAATACTACGCTTTAGTTTTACCAGTGTACTAAATGGATTCCTCGTTCGAGGGGCATCCCGGTAAGGTGATGTGCTTGATTCAAGTACCATGTGAGGCAAAGAAACCTTAACACGGCTGAACTGGCCTTCCGACGCGTAGTGGACACCACTCTAAATGTCTTACGAAGAAATTTCCCATAATACGAAGGAAATGGCGCAAGCATAATACGAAGGTGGTTTTTCTTCGTATTACGAAGGTTTTTCTTTGTATCTTACAATGAAAAAGCTAAAAAGATTCGTATTACGAAGGTATATTGCTTCGTATTATGCTTGCGCCGATTTCACTGTAACATACGAATAACATAGGCCAAATTCCATTGTAAGACATTTAGAGTGACCGTTTCCAGCAATGTCCAATAAATAATGACGTAAAAAGAGAAAAAAAATGAATTGACACAGTTTTTTTTTCCTGCTTTTATGTCCGTGGCGAGGTGTGGGACGGCAATTGATTACGCGTGAACCGCGCCGCAGGAAAAGCGATAACGATTAAATACATGCCGCGAGCGGTAATGGAGAACTGTGTGATTGCTCGGATTGCGACAGAATTACTTCCCATCCATCGGGGGAAAAATGACATTTCTGGCCTTCAAAATCACAAAGGGTCCGGGTGACGCGGTCCACGCGAACGGCGAGGCAAGTCCTAATGCGCGCCCATTTGCGTCGCCCATTTTATTCCCCTAGTGAAACGTGGCCCGGGGGCTGCGGACTCATTCCGAGAGTCGTTTTCGTCGCTCCGTCTCGCTCGCACTCGCGGGGCGTCCCGTGAAGGCGCGAGAGAGACGGAGCGACGAAAACGACTCTCGGAATCAGTCTGCGGGGCGCTGGGCTGTGCGGGTGAGAATTCTCAACTCAAACACGCCGCTTTGGTAGGCCGGTCCTAATGCAAAAGTTAGTAGAGTGCGTGAGCCATCGCCAAGTTGGTTTCGCAATCAGAACGGCGGGTGCGTGACCCCGCAGGGAACACTTTCGCTTTTGAGTGGGCCGGCGCACAGTGGGCGCACAGTGGTCCAGGGGGCCTTTTAGAGGCATGGACTGTGTTTCAAGCGCCCAAGGAGTGCAAACACGCTCTAACGCACGCATGATGGTTCTGCCCTGTTAGAATTTAATTGGGAATTAACGGATGATCCTCTCGAAAACAGTTGCCGAAGGAACATTTGTAAATTTACGAAGATCCTTGGTGAATTTCCATAAATTCCATAAATTATCATGAATTTTCCAAGGTTTTCTTTGGTCAACATTTGTCCCAACCTGCACAGCGTCACAACGTATAGTAGGCCCTTCCGGTGGTGGATGAGGGGGTCAAAACCCCGGACGCGTTTTGAGCTCCAGTCGTTAAATGGGACTCGAACGAAACGTGGTGGGACCCACCTTTAGATTGCCCTCCGAATGAAGAATCCGTAGGTGGGTCACACGTTCGGTTCGAGTCCTGTTCAGCGACTCTGGAGCTCAAAACGCGTCTAGAGTTTAGGCACTGCTGTGCAGCGTCGCAAACCACCGATCGGTGCCAAAACTCCTTTTCTTCCGTTGCCGCCCAGAGGCGTGGGCCTCTCCGGCCTACGATGTGTCGCGACGTGACCCACTCCGGGAAATAAGTTCCGGGACCCGCCCCTGGGCCAGGGCCCCTGACTGCGGTCCGCCGTTCAGCACGAAGCCGCCGCCTCAGCCCGACGAGGACGTCGAGGGCGGCGGCACACAGTGGGCCAGAAGACCGGTGGAGGCGGCGGCCAAAACTCTAGACGCGTTTTGAGCTCCAGAGTCGCTAAGCTGGACCCGAATCGAACGTGTGACCCCACCAATGGATTCCTCGTTCGGAGAGCAATCCATTGGTGGGGTCACACGTTCGGTTCGAGTCCCATTTAGCGACTGTGGAGCTCAAAACGCGTCAAAAGTTTTGGCCGCCTACACCGGTCTTCTGGCCCACTGTGCGGCAGCGGCACTTCCCTCCCTCCTGCAGACTGATTCCGAGAGTCGTTTTCGTCGCTCCGTCTCTCTCGCACTGACGAGGCGCCCCGTTTAGGCGCGAGAGAGACAGAGCGACGAAAACGACTCTCGGAATGAGTCTGCTCGAGCCATTCCTCTCTGGAGTGGCGCCGGCCCCTTCCAGTGCCGAGTGGGGCGCGGGGATTCCCTTCCCGGCCAGAAGAAGGAGAGTTTGTAGCGAGTCTTACGGCGCTCGTAAAGCGCACACCGCGGCACGCGCTCTCTCTGTCTCTCTCGCACTCACGGGGCGTTCCGCGGAGGTGCGAGAGAGACAGA